CAAGAGCTGTCTGCGGTCGGCGTGTCGTGGCGTAGACCTGCCTGCAGCTATCTGGGATGGATGGCGGCGATGGCAGGCGTAAATCCGGCAGGCACGCAGGGCACGATCAGCAGCAGCAGCTCGGCTGTGTGTTTCTTGGTGACCTGTGCGTTTAGAGGCTGGCCTCTGGTGGGATCTCGGGGACTTCTGGCGCTTTGAATTGGAGCGCTGCGATCCAGGAGGGCAGAGGAGAGGGGCAAGGAAATGTATTTTCTACCTTTCACTGCCGTATCCATCTCCCTCGGCACTGTCAGACTTTGGTGTTCTATCACTTCTTTTACTGGCAGAGGTTATTAATTTCAAGTCTGCAAATCAGCATTTCAGAAAACATCTTAACTTTGTTTTCTCAGTCATGCTGCTCTAGCGGTATCCACAAAACAGGATGCTATGACACAGATAGAAAGTTAGCACCTGCCTCGCATCTGTTAACACAGGTACTGTGCTTAGGGGTCTGATGTCCCGAGACAGATTGTTGGGTCTTTCAGCTGCCTGGCATCAACCTGGGATGCAAAGGCAAGAGTGGGGCATAGCTGAAAGTCTTGGTAAGATCAGAAAGTTTAGGAAGTAGCTTGGGACATGGAGGAGCCAGCCCATTTGCATCCAGATCTGGGAGCGAGCTTCTCTTTCTTCTGTAGACAGACACTTTCTTAGCAAATCCATAGCAAAAGTACTAGAGGCAGGAAAGAGCTCTGTAAAGCATGGTGGCGTTCTTCAGTGGAAGGGGGAGGTAACTGATGTCATGCTCACAAGAGGGCCCTGATAGTGGAGACTGAATCCCAGTCTTGAACTGAAAATCCCAAGGAAGTAGTGAAGAGAATGGAGCCCTAGGTGTGATGGGCTGTCAGAAATGCACACTGCCAAACAGCATGGCCACTATGTCCTGAAACACCAAAGGGCTTTCGAGAAGTTACCTGTTTCATACTGCACCAGAGAGAGGTGTCTTCAGTCTAGAGGTCAGAGGCTCTTGACTCATCAAAATCCAGAATGAGATTGGATGTCATCTTTCCAACAGGAGATGGAAAGGGGAGGTGTTTCTCCTAAGTATCCAAAACATGGAAGAGTCCGGATGACTGCAGCAACAGCAGGTTGTCTTTCGATCTAAGAGCATATGCCTTCTACGAAATGGTGAGATAGTCTTGGTTGGCAGAAAGCTGAGCTTTCTCAGGAGTTTTTCTGAACCAGCTGTTGCTTTGAATGAAGTCCAGGGAAAGTTGGGAAACAGCTCTTCTCACATCTGATGTGCAGTTAATGCTGGGTGTCATCAGCCTTGGAGTAGTCTGTGAAGTCCAGGAAGATTTAGCCTCCTGCTGCTACTCAACGTGGATGCTGAATGTAAGGAGCATGATAGGACTGTGAGGAGCACATCAACAAATGTCAGCTTCACAGGTGAAGGGCAAAGTGCCCTATGGAGGATGTGGACTTGGAAAAAAAGATCTTGAAGCCACAGTGGTGTGAAGTTTCTAGGGTCAGAAAAAGAATATGGGACTTCCTGGGTCAACTACATCAGATGGTGTGAAGGACTTCTGTAATGTTCATAAGGGTATCTGGTCCTTGTGTGTGACTTAAAGGAGGTCATCCAGTCAGTGTCTGAGCTGGAAACCTGCTTGATCCTGCCCAGGAAAAGCACAGCAGACCTCCTTTGGTAGCTTGGTCAGGCATGGGAAAGGCAGGATTTCTGGTGGTGGCTGGGAGGGTAGTTACACCAGGTAGTGTTTACTCAAATACAGGCAAGCAATTGGGTGAGAGATACTTTACTGTAGAAGGATAAAGTGGTTACTATGCTAATAAAGAACCTAACAGCTTTCCTCCTCAATTTAGAAGGGCTTGAAGCAGACAAGGTCAGTGTTGCCTAGCAGTTGCATGTGATGACTTCACGAAGGTAGGTTGTGGGGTTGCCAGGCCACTGTTACGGTTCCAGTGTCTCTGGGACTCTCTCAATGCTCATGTGAGTGGCTGAACATAACAGCCAGAGGCAGCTTCTAAATCAGCAGTGTTGTCATCACCTCCAGAATGGTGAGCCTTGTGGCACTTGAGAAGGAGCTCTTTTCACCACTATTACAAAGGCGACTCTTGCACTAATGCAGAAAGTGAACTGTAGATTAAGTGCAGAATGGTGGCAGCTCAGCAGCCAACCATGCCATCTTCTCGTTGCTCCCTGCCCTTGGCAGTCCCCTCCTTCAGGGAGTGACCAGTTGGGAATGCTCTGATGCTTCAAAAAGCGTGAGCACCAGGTCTGTGCAAACACTGCCCTTTAAAGAGCATGGTCACAAGGGGCTTTAATGAGGCTGCTGAATTTCCTAGTGTGGGTGTTCCCTTGGGCAGGTAGTAACAGAAGACCCAGCACTATCTCGGGCAGCAATGGGCATACATCTGGTGGCTGTGACTTACTTGGCGTTAGGTTAGAGCACATGTGCTTTCCAAGCCTCATACTTGTCTTGGGTAAAGCAAGTGAAAATACAACAATAAACTTTGCTTTGGGAGGGAGATAAAGAAAGATGAAGCAAAGTCCATGGCCACATCGACTCTGTCAGATCAGAATAGTCGAAGAGAGGCTGAACCTTCTTAGCCCTTTTTCTGTGATGGAGAAGATGATAGTCAACGTTGTGGAGGTCCCCACAGTCTGTTGGTTTAAAGAGTGATGTGAGTAATGGAGGGAGACAAGGAGGGAAGGGAGGGAAGTAATCTGTTTTGCACCAGTGAACATGCAAATACTCTGGTTTTGTGTCCCACATTTCTTCCATGCAGGAAACGGAGCCAGTGTGACAGCTAGGTCACACTTTGTGCTTCTTGTGTCCTGGCACAACATGGTAGCATTGCACAGGCGGGGACCCTAAAGATCTTGGGGAAACATCTGATGGTGAGGAGGGCCAGGTGATGACCACCAAATGCTAGTGCCATCGTCACTTCTGTAAGGATGTGAAAATCCAGGGGAGAGAAAATAGAAGAGAAGGAGGAAGAACATCCTTAACTTTGCACACCAGAAACTGAGAGTGCCGGCTCTGACCTGGCCTGGAGCTGGGAGGTAGCTCCCAAGAGATCTCCAGATCTGCAGATTTGACTCTCAGCAAAACCACTCGCCCGCTCTCTAACACTGGGTGACTCTCACTTGGAAAGTTTCCTGTGCGCACGAGAGCTGCTTTCTGCGCGGGGAAGGGCAATGCTTCCTGTTTTTCTACAACATTGCTCCCTCCTCCCTCCTCCGGTTTCTTGGGCAGGCTGGCAGTCGCTATCGCATCTGGGTGAAGTCTTTCCTTTGTTTGCTCTACTGTTTCGCCAGACTGACTTTCTTAATTTTTTTTATATCTCCGCGTTTGTTCTCAGACTGCCACGTCGCCTGTACGTTCATAGAGCAAGGTGGCGTGAGGAACGGCCAGGAGCGCAGGTGTGGGTTGCTTGTGACAGATCCTAGGAAAAAAAATAGCTGTGTGATATGCAAGTTTGCTTTGTGGTTACGTGTAGGGTAAGAATCTGTTTCAAGGCGTCTTTTCCTTACTTACTGCTGCAGAACAGACATTGTTTGGGCCATGTCCCTTCAACACCTCTTTAAGTGGATATTATACCTGATAGTAGTGTTTGTGACTAAACTGAACAAAGTCAAACAGTTTCCTTTGCTCAATGGTGCTCTTGCATATTGATCTATTAATCTCTAGGTAATGACCAATAAGTGATTCTCTGTGACGCAAGACTTAAAAGCAGATCTGGCCTTAACCACAATTTTGTGGTTAAGAGGCAACAGTCTTAAGAGTTGACTTCCTCGCTCTTTCAAGGAAGGGTCTTGTGCCTTTAAAAAGAAAACCAAACACACACACAAAAAACCCCAAACAACAAAAGCCAACTTCTATATATAATATGCAAAACCTACAGGGGACCGCGCAGGCTGACATGATGTCACTGGCTTTCTCTGCCAGCCTTTCACACGCCTCAGAGGCGAAGACGCTTTACAGCAGAGCTCTGTGGTTTCGCGTGTGATTGCACAGAGCTGTGCTCGGGGTCACGAGGCTGCCGCTGCTCCCCAGCCAGGCCGGTTCTGCGGGAGAGGTCTACTTGCGGACTAGAAGTGGTTAGCTGGGTGAAAAACTTCTTCTATTGCCACGCTTAATGCTGTTGTTTTTCTGAAGTCCTTGCCAGGCAGGGTTGGGGGAGGTCTGCTGAACGCAGTAGCAATGTGAGAAGAAAAATAGCCTATTTAAATGTCAGTAGCTAAGCCCAATTCCTGTGCGAGAGTGCATGCATATACTTGTGCAGTATGAGTAATAACACAAAAGACAGGCTTCAGAAATGAGGCTTATATTTAAATACATCTTAAAGTCTCAGCTGAGTGTAAGGCCCTTCCAAATGTACACTGGCCACGCAAACACACCTGGGATGCTTACCCCAAAGGGCAGGGGAAGGACTGTACCAGTAGAAGGCATCTTCGTGCTGCACCTGCCATTGCATTATACTGAAGAATGTTTGTTTGCTTTGTTGCTAAAAAGAAGTCGCATTACTTCAAATGCTGTTGCTATGGGCAGGCTGACAGAGAACCGAAACTCAGTGGGTAAACCTGGAGCACCCCTCGGTGTAGTGAGAGCATCCAGATGAGCCGGTTAGGCTCTGAAGAGCTGGCATGAGAAAGCATAAGAGGTCCCCCTTTTTTGTCCATGGTAAACTTGCCAGTGGCAGAGTGGGACTTCATTGGCTTTAGGGACTTTTTGTGACTTCTCTGACATCATCTGTTCCAGGATCAGGCTCCTCAGGTGGCCTTTTCCACTGAACAACTGCATGCTTTATGGCTGGGTTGGCAGGTGACAGATGTTTGCTAATCTTGATCTAGCTTGTAATTTTTGTGCTTTTTTGTTTGGTTATTCTAGCATGCACAAACATGTTGCAGTACTTGGATCACCTCAGCCTCCATATAAAGCTTCAGCTAACTCCTCCTATCCTAAACAAAATACGAGGATTCCAGGGAAGTAGTGATGATTGGGATGCTGGCTTAGGGGTTTCTGTTTGACCAGCCCTGCCGAGCCCTGCCAAAGGACAATATTGATGGTGGTATGAGCTATTGCAGAAACTCGTCCTAAAGAGTAGCAGTCTATACTTCGGGTTCTTTCTATATTGGGTACTCATGTAGATGGCCTGAGTGGAACAGCGTTAATACCATAGCTTATCCACTGTCAGGTAAAATTGTAGCTGCTATGTGATTCAGCCTATAAAGGATAAACCCACAAAATAGCACTAGCCTCAGAAACGGCTCCAGAAGTCCTGCAATATCAGGGTGTTGTGCTGCAACAAGTAACGTTTGCAAGAGATGTGGAGTATAGTATGTCAGCTACTGTCTGTGACAATTTAGGGGTTCAGGAGTTGCGTTAGTGCGCTGTTACTGGCATCCCAGTGATGTAAAAGCAACAACTTGCTGTTGCTAGTGTTTGCGCTTTCGAAATGAGTGCTGTGTTCAAGTTTACCCAATGAAATAAATTTGCTTCTCTGCAGGCAACATGGTGGAGTGGTGTTTACCCCAAGATATTGATTTAGAAGGTGTGGAATTCAAATCCATGGCAAGTGGGTCCCACAAAATCCAGTCAGATTTCATGTGAGTATGTCTGAGCTATATTACTTCTTTCTCTAAGCTGTAAACCTACACCACCATCCCTTAACTCAGAACATGCAAGAAAAATACCATCTATGAAGTTGAGTTCCTGCATAAACGTGCTGCTAAACTGTATCTAGCCGAGCCAAAGATACTCTTCAGTTACTCCAACATCATATCAAGTACCAGCTAGCTGTGGGGATCTGCTGCGTGACAGCTTTGGCTGTGGAGGCCAGCTGGTGAATGGGGCAGGCCAGCTTCTTGGTGTGCAAATTTTAATGCGTATTGGGCAAATCATACTGCAGTGCTGCTACTGGGACTGTCAGCAGAGGCCTAGGGTGAAGGGGAAAGGATGGCAGAACTGAAACGGGAAGGATTTTGCAGGAACTGGACTTAGAAAAAGGTTCTTAATTCTGCAAGTGCTTTTGGATCCTTTAAATGTTGTGATAAACAGTCCTTGCTCACTTTCTTCTTTGCTAGCTCCTTCCTTCAGTGGAAAGACATAAGCTAGGAATTTTCTGCGTTCCCATCCTTTTACTAACCCAGTGTTGCAATGCAGCAATGTTTTGCAATGAATTGCAGTGTCACAATTCCTTTTGGTCAGGAATAACAGTTACTTTCTCAAAGGCACATGACCTGAACCATTTTACTCAGGTAGAGTATGCTTCCACATGCTGGCACCCAAAATATAACTAGGTAGCTAGACTGTACTCAGAACTTCATGCACTGCAGGCTTTTCTTCCTTGGAAGAAGGGCACTGTGTTGGCTGGGTCCTGTATCCTCTGTTGGTCTTTCTTCCAAGTTCTTTCCTTTCTTGCGTTCCAGTGACGTGGCTGGTAGGAGCTTTAGTGGGAACTCCTGGGAGCTCTTGCTTTAAATGTCCTGTCTTGTTCCTGAGAAGACTAGGACACCCAAGGCTTGTCCTCAGCCCTTCAGATAGCAGGGTGGGATTTCAGGGGTTTCCTTAAAGAAGGAACTGTGTTCCCTAATCACTATTTTTTGTGGTCAGTTACCTTTCTTTCTTTCTTCCTTCCTTTTTGCTCTTTTTAACACTAACCCTTCTGTCAAACATTTGTCTCCAGTTATTTCCGGAAGGGGCTCTGTTTTGGCCTGGCCTGCTTTGCCAACATGCCTGTGGAGAGTGAGTTAGAGCGTGGTGCCCGCATGAAGTCCGTGGGGATTCTCTCCCCTTCCTACACCCTGCTGTATAGGTACATGCACTTCCTGGAGAACCAGGTCAGGTAAGTTCCCTTGGGAATGGGGCTGGCCACTCCCTGCCTAGGAGAGGTAATGTTGCCCTGATGGAGAGCAGTTTTAGGCATGAGTGAGAGTTTGGCTACAACACTGAGCTACGACTTCCTTGAATAACTACTTCTCCAGAAAGAGTTACAGGTTCACAACGGGAAGGAGACAAGGAAATGATAGCAGCACTCTCTTCATTGATGACAGGCTAGTCAAATGCTATCCAAATCCTACTTATTTTGTGTGGACCTAAGTGTCAAGGAGAGAGTTGAGAGAACAAGAAGTTCTCCTTTTCTCCTTCTGAAAACCATTTTACTAAGGGCTCACAAAGGCTTCTAAACCTATGATGGTGCTCCTGGCTAGGTGTGTGCTTTAGCTGTGTTGAGTGGACTTGGCAGGGAAAATGGTGATGGTAGAATGGAAAGCTGTTCCTACCTGAGCATATTTTAAAAGAGGATCAGTAGTACTATGGATACATCAGCTTGCTGTCTGCTTCAGTCCTGCCCGTGTTCTCTGGCTGCACTGAAAGCTGGTGTTACTCCTGACGCTTCAGCTGCGCTCCTGGATAAGTCTGTGCAACTGAGGCACCCAGGGCTCCTTTGCTAGCTGGGAAAGCAGATGTTGGCTGGGGGCAAGGCACTTAATAAGTAGAGTCTGGAGACACTGCAGATCTCTTTTTTCCTTTCTTTTCCAGACACCAGCTGGAGATGCCAGGGCACTACTCCCATCTAGAGGCGTTCTATGATGACAAGAAAGGAGTTCTCCCTGATAGCAAGGGCACCGCCACCTCTCAGCAACCTGTCCACTGGCTGCCATCCATCCACAGATACATGTACCCAGAGATGAAGGTGAGGCAGGTGCTCTGAAGCTTGCAGGAGTGGGCAGCGTGGTGCTGCTCCTTGGTGGTGTCTCATACTCCTTTATATAAGCAGTCACTCCAGCGCTTTGTAGGCTGCTTTAGATAAGATTTTGTTACTTGGACTGTTACAAGCTGCAGTTCCCTGTCATTGCTGTGTGCTGGTCTTGCTCCCACATTTAGACTTAGCATCTGTGCATGTGTCCCTGCTTCACCTCTGAGCTTTTTTCTTCCCTTTCCCTCCACCTGCAGATCACACACCCTGCTGGCTGTATGTCTCAGTTCATCAAATTCTTCGGTGAGCAGATCCTTGTCCTCTGGAAGTTTGCCCTGCTGCGCAAGCGCATATTGATATTTTCACCGCCCCCAGTTGGAGTTGTCTGCTATAGAGGTATGTTTCCAGGGACACCGCAGTGCTCTGATCTAGTAGGCTGAAGCACTGCAGAAATGCCTGTGGGTACTGAGGGGGATAGACATCATGCAGGTCTTCAAAATCCATTGCAACCATTCCTTGTGAAGATACTGTTCAGCCTGCATTTACCCATTTCCTACAAAATGCTTTTCTTCAGGCCTTTTGGGTAAGGACATACCTGGCATTGTCAAACACAGTTCCTCTCAGCACAGGACAGTAGGAGTGCTGAATGAATTTGTGGCATCTAGAACATGGGATTCCTATGGGAGAACCGATTATTTCCTATCCAAAACAGGATGTCCCCACTTGAGAAGTTCTGGTGTTCAGGGGCATTTCACAGCTCTAACCATTGTTTTCATAGAAGTGTGTGGGAGAACTGGGTAAGTGGGGCTCAGAATGTCCTTGAGGGAATACTGAAAGCATCTCAGGATGTACTTCTCTTGTCCGCAGTGTATTGCTGCTGTTGCCTTGCCAATGTTTCTCTCCCTGGTCTTGGAGGAACTGTCCCAGAGTCCAAACCGTTCTTCTATGTGAATGTGGCAGACATAGAAATGCTGGAGACAGAAGTATCATATGTGGCCTGTAAGTATGATGGATTAGGCGTGACGTTTTTAACTTCAGGCTGCAAAATGTCTTGAGACACCAGACTGTGGAATAAAACTGATGAGAAATAGGATGTGCATGGAATGACTACGAAAGCAGGAGAGAACAGTTGGTCTGTTGGGACAGCAACATGCTGCTCTGAAAATCTTCTCTGATTTTGGCAGGTACAACAGAAAAGATCTTTGAGGAGAAACGGGATCTCTATGACGTGTATGTGGACAACCAGAATGTGAAGACGCACCATGAGCATCTGCAACCACTCCTGAAAATTAACAATGCTGACAAGGAGAAGTACCGACGGCTCAATGACCAGAGGTAATAATGGACATCTGGGTGGTCCTGGTCCCGATAGGACAGCAGTGTGATGTGGGATAAAGAGGACACTGCTCCTTTGTACTTTCCTTCTTGTCTTAGAATTGTCAACGTTTCCCACTGCTTCAGCTCATCTCTTTGAGATTCTGGTTCCACTGTAGCTGACTGGTGTGAGAGCTGCTGGGCACTCTGCACACATACAATCACTCTGCCAGTGAGCTGATGGAGCAGATAGAAGGCAGGAAGAGAAGCAGAGGTTGTGACTCACCATTGGTTCACCACTGATCAGTAGCAGAACTGAAAACAGCCTGCTTTCTAGTCCAGTGCCATATAAAGACTACCCTGTTGCCTCAGATATCGAGGCAAGTGTTAGTCTGATTGGTCTCCAAGAAATGGATGTGAAGTTTTAGTTGTAATCCTTGTCTTCTCATAATGCTTTGAGGTTCACTGTAGGTATGTTCAATTAATCTGTCTCCCTTCTCTCAGGCAGATGTTAATGTATTCTCAAGAAGTTGGCGAGGATTGTAGCTCCTGTGAAGAGGACCTTTTCATCTTGTGAGTGGCTACCTCTAACACTTAGTTGGTCACTGTTAGGCTTAGGGAGCCTCTTTCACTGATTCCATGTTGCACTGGTTTGGCATATTATGAAACATCATGATTAACATAATTCCATAGTCAGCTCTCTTTCTCTAGGGATCCAAGAACCAAACTGCCTCTTCCTTTTCAGATCATCTTCTTTTCAATTTGAGAAGCCAAATGCAGCCATGCTAGTCTCCACTGTGGTCTCTTAAGTGCTGGGAGGGAGAAGGGAATTTTAAAAACACAATTAGAAATGCAAGAATCCCTTCCCATTTTTGAAAACATAAGCACTACAGGACTTTTCATGCCAGAACATTTGGCTCGGGAAAGGACAATGTCCAGGGGAAACAGGCACTGTACCATGCTGAGGGAGGTACAGTGTGGAGATAAGACCTGCATGTGAAAGACTGGCCCATTGATGTGGCTGGCTTTGTGCTTGGCAAACAGAGGAACCAGGTGTAGAGTATGAGGTATGGAATTAGATGAAAACTACAGCTCTGCCACCTCTGAAGTCCTTCACTGCCTGTTGCTACTGTTCACAGTCTGCAGCAGGTGAGAAGTAATGGGATGAAACTGTGTGAAGGGTTGTCAGGGCAGAGCCCTGATCACTGAGCTGCACACATGTAGTCAGAGTTCCTTCTGAACAGCCTTGCATGTTCCTAGGAAAGCACTAGGTAAGAAGTAGCTCCCACTGCTATGTTCTGCACAGTAATGGAGAATTTATTTACCCAGTGGCTTACTAGATGGATGACAATGCCGTTTTCTTCTTTGCATTATGGGACCTATAGGTCTGATATACCCACTTGGTTACCACAAAGTACACATTAGCTGATAACGTGGCTTGCTTCTGAAGAGTGAAATGCCTACCATAAATCAGCCAGACAGAAGCACTGCCGTAAATTAAAAGTTACTGCTTTATCTTTGTTTATTCTGGGTCATCCATAGGGTGGATGGAAAACTACTACAACGTCACCTAAGAAGGTGGGTTCTATGATTAAAGGGGGTTAAATGCAGTTCTGGAGCTCTGCTGCCTGTTTAGTAAATATGCTATCTTTTTGGGGGTCCAATGCCATCATCTTAGCTGACTTTATCCTATAGGTTTTTCATGGAGCAGAACAACCGCATATTTCAGACGCTGATGGAGGTGTCAGCCAGCCAGGACAAGACACTGACAGCTGACCACGCACGAGGCATGGGCCTGGATCCCCAAGGGGATCGAAGTTTCCTTATGGACCTACTGGAAGTGTATGGCATTGATGTTATGCTAGTCATTGACAACCCCTGCTGCACTTAAACCAAGGGCAAGAGAGATGGGGAGCAAAGATCATTTTTTAAAGACTACCAGACATTGCTTAGGAGGATCACTGGAACTCACCACAGCCACTGGACAGATCTCATTTTATTTAATAACTTTATATGGAGAGTATTTATAATTTTAAAACAAAATGTGATTTTATTTTCTCCCCCTCATCTTCCCAATGAGTACCTGCTCCAGGTTTGGGGTTTTTTGTTTGGTTTTGTCTCCCTTTCTCTTTCATTTGTGTTTTTTTGTCTTGTTTAGATAGGACCAGTGGCACCTTTGCACCAATCCTCACTGTTGCCAGTGATAGCTAGGTTTTGGCCTAGCCTGGATACCTGAGGGCTGAAGACTTCAGGAAAGCACTTTGTCTGATGGGGACCAATGTGAAATGCTGTAGCTGAGCCCTCAAGACTTGACTGGAAAAACCCTCCTATTATCCCCTCTTCCACTTGGGGACTGAAGAGAGCTTCAGCACAGGCTGTTAGTGGCCCAGTCTCATAAAACATCTGTCCTACCATGTTTATTGGTGGGGACAGTTAAACCAATGATAAAAAACCAGGACTCCTTTAAACACCCCTCACCCAATTTTAGGAGCTGAGTTGGAATAAAGCCACCCTTCCTCATCAATGGCAGAAACAAGTTTGGGACAAGGGGGTGCTACAGAATCTTAATACTTTGCTTACCAGAGCAGCATGGTTTCACTTCCAGCATTTGAGGTGGCATAAACTGGCAAAGACTACTTATCTCATAGCTGGAGAAGAGCACCATCTCTACTTAATCCCTCCTACCACTTCCTCTGGCTTTCAGTTGCATCACACCTGCTGCTTTGGTTTAAAAATCTTCAAACCAGCAAGATGGTCTCCCATTTAACAGGGACCAACATCACTGAGCCACCTTGCAGTCACCATGTTCTCCAGCCTCAGCTCAGATGGTGCTGGACCAGATTGGGTTGAATAAGTACGCTTTAATGTCACTAGGCCTTCCTTTGTAGCAGATGGTACTTGTCACTCCTTTGCTTTAACAATGTCTGCTGATCCTCCTTTTGTCACACAGCCTTCAGCACTGTCTGCTGCTGTCCTTGGCTTTCAGTGTGAGACAGAGCAGTATGGGACCTTCTGGCTGGAATGACTTCGCAGTTTGCAGGAGGTTCCCTTGGAGTTTGGTGTTCTTAACTGGCACAGCTGCTAGAAGCAATGTCTAACAGCAAGCCTTTTTTTCCTGGGCAGAGAAGCTGTAGAACCAGATGAACAGTGTCTTATTCTTGTGCTGTGGAAAGAACAGGATTCAGTTTATGCAGGACCAGTGGCTACCTCCAGGAAGGCTATCCCAGTAAAGAGTAATCCGTTCACCATGTGAAATCAAAGAATGGTGCTGTAGGTTCTAGGTGTGACTGCTTTGCCCCAAATCCTTCAGCCAGTAGTAGCATCAGCTTTAAGCTAACTGTTCTTCCTGAACTGTGGCTATAGCTAATTAGCTGCTGCTTCTACCGTAATAGACTTTAGCACCCTTGGAGCCTTTCTGCAGTTTGTAGAAATGCAAACTGTAGCTGATGTATCCATTTATCCTAGCATTTTATAGGATGAGGCAGAGCCTGAACCACCGAAGTCTCACCCACTAATTCTTTTTAAAACAGGTGATGCAAATGTGCTCCAAGTAGATCCTCTGTGGATTGTCTCCATCTGGAAGGAAGCAAGCTGGCATGTCCTGTTTCTCCTTGAAGGCTATGTAGTTTTGCTTGCTGTGGTTTCAGAGGTTTTAGTGAGGTGTGGGGATCAGGGGCCTCACAAGGCTTATTGCACAGTTCATTAGTACAGGCTTCAGCATATTATGTTCCTGTGATCTGCTTCTCTCTGAGCAGCCACTCCCCTGCCTGCTTTTTCAGGGCTTTGAATGTTTTTGTACAGCAGAAAACATGCTGCTGCTTGTATTACCAGTTGCTCACAACTGTAATGTAATCATCCTTAGAAGGCTGGGGAAAAAAATGGGGAAAGAGGAAAAAACAGAGCTGAATATCATTTAATGGGAAGAAAAGGCTTTCCTTAAGGCTTTGGTTTTAAATTGACACCTCTAGTATAAAAGTGACCCACAATCTCCATGGTTTTTTCTGACTTTCACTTTAGTTTTAACATGCTGTCTGCAGTGAAGATCCCTGAGGAGGTATAGCTGGCATTGTATTGCTGTCACTTACTTTACTTCCTTCAGATATAAAAAAAAGGAACTGAAATTAGTCTCTAGCAATTCTTCCTCTCACTTTCTTGAAGGTTTGCTACATAGTTTAGCTGTGGTCAGCTGTTAATGGCTTTCTGTTCTCATTGATGTCAGTAGTTCTTTTGCTGAACTAAATAGAAACAAACCTTTAATTTGTCACTGAAATTTTACAGCCTCTGCAGTCAGAGGCTTTCTAACACCCTGCATTAGAGCGCTATGTTCACAAGCTGTCAGGACATCAGGTCTACTAGACAGCACTGCTAGAGCCCACTGAGCAGAACCTCCTGAAATTACTATTTGACATTTATTAAACCTCTGCTTTCCAGAAACTAGGGCTTCAGTTGCTAGCAGTAGTGTGGGTGCAGAAGCATCAAAGCAAGCAGATTACTGTGAAAGCAGCATCCCTGCTACATCCCAGCTGGATGGGTACGGCCTATTTTCCTCTTCCTTGTAATTCTGCTTCTCTACAGCCTCTCTTGGCAGGTGACTGCTACAGAAGACAGAAAACAGAACAAAAAGACTTCTCTAGCCTAACCCTTCCTTGTTGGATTTGGTGCAAAAGAATTTTCCACCTGTACTCCCCTTTTCTAATAGACATTGCTTTCATTGTTGTCACATGTGGAAAATCCTTGATAAATGGGTACATAATATAAACAAATGGCTACAGCTTGGGCCATGAGGGCTTGTTCAGTAGACTGTTTTTGTTTGGAACCAACTTCACTGAATCTTCTTTCCAGGAGATAACATAATTCAAGGTAAAACAGTTAAGTGCGTACATTTAAAATCCCCTCCTTGGCACTTAATAGTTGCTTTTTTGAATACTAGCTGTAGGATGGGAGACAGTTACTTGGTGTATTTTGAATTAGGGAGGAAAGTGTGGCATAAGGTAGAATATTGCTGATTACTGCAAAAGTAGTCCTCTTCTCCATTTTAAGTACTTTGCCTTTACAGTGGTGCCTTTCATTTCTTTGGTGTGATGTCTCTGGTCAGTTGCTTGTGATCAGAGCCCAGGTTGAATGGTGGTTACAGTAACCATGTATATATCCCATGCCCTGGTAGACACAGTCTGGTATGTTCCTCTCTAACACTCAAGTCATAGCACAGCCATTGCAGGTGCTCCCCAAGCTGGTACTTGCTTGAGTTTCAATAGGAGAGCAAGAGCTTCATAATTGCGTCTTAACTCAAGTTGCACTAGAAATGTATAATCAAGTAATGTATTATTATTACTTGTACTATCTGGATTGGAGGGTAAACCCTGAGAGAGAAATAAAAGCTAGGTTTTCAGTCTGAACAAGGGATACCATGCCAGACACTTAAATCATGCAAAAGTCTTCTCACTGCAAGGTTAGGCCAAGCTGCATAGAGCCAAGTACAGCTAAAAACTATAATGGATACTAGGAGAAAGGCATTTTACTGAATTAAAGAGTTCAGATTTGTCTTGGAGACATGCTAATACCTTATTTTCTAGCATATATTAAGTAGTTACTCCAATGTAAGAGCTAATGGTCATGTCTGTCACAGGAGATGAGCTTGCCTATCCAGCATCCTTAAGGGCCGAAGAAAGTTCCATCACCTTTTCAAGGCAAAGTAGCTTACTGTACAGCTTACTCCGTAAAGCAGTGCTATTGTAATACTTCTTCCATTTTAAGAACTGCCAAAGTTAATGGGCAAAAAGCTAGGAGTAGCTGTGGCCCTCTTGGTGACAGACTAGGCAAGGGACAGGCATGCTTTGCTCTGGGAAGGGGAAAGGCAAGAGCACTCTGTCCTAATGCAAAAGTCTAGGTACAAAGCATGCATACTAACCCAAATTCTCTCATCATAGCTATTATTTCTGTTAGTTGCTGTCTCCTTTCTGCCCCCCAAAGCTAGTGGTCTAGTGATTATGTCTTTTGCGAGGGACTGGAATGTACTGACTTAACAGAATGATATGTCTGTCTAAAACAGAGGGTACTAGATGGCTATGAACCAGCATTTCAGGTCCTGGTTAATGCAACATGCCATTCAAATGGGAATGTTTAATCATGGTTAAAATAAATGGGTGCCTTGGGCTGGTCCATCATTAGGTTGTTATCCTTCCTTTTTATTTATGTTACAGTATTTTAAGCCTTTCTAGAATGGACTGTAAGTTGAAGCTAGGATAAATGTTTTCATGAGTGGGACCTAGGTTTCTACTCCTGCTTCCTGTCCTGGAGTTCATACAAAGAAAGTTGTTTATCTTGCTGCCAGACAGAAACATGAGAACTGAGTCCTTTCCTCAACATTGTAGATAGCAGGTTCAGCCCCTGCTTCTTTTATGTAATGTTTTTCTCACACCTCCCCTCTGAATGTTGCAATTCAGAGGCCTAGAACCGCCCCATACTGGTAGACCTCTGAACTGTAGAGGAAGGGGAAAAAATTACTTGAATGGTATTTATATGAGCTACTCAACTTATGCTGATATGAATATTTAAATATCAGCCTGTCTCAGATGATACTTGGTAGTTTAACATCAGGACAGCATTAACAATACCAGTTCTGAAGGGAGCTCTTGGTTACCCTCAAGCAAGGAATCATACTGCAATGGGAGCCATGCATCTGATACTATGGAAGAGAATTAGTTGTTTTCCCTGTAAACTGGTACAGGTGAACCAGAAGCTAGTTCTTACCATCTCACCCCTTGCAGCAGGCTGGTTGTAGTTCTAACAGCTCTGATGATGTTTGCATCTTGCAGATGTGTGGTTGCTCCCATAGGCCTGTGGCTGTGTAGAAAAACTGCTTACTAAAACATGGGTATTTTTTAATACAATTAAAGCTTACCTTTTTGAAACGGCTGCTGCCTTGTCTTTCCTGCCACTTGAGAAAAAAACATTGCTGATTATATTACAGAAGCATCAGCTTGAGGAAAAACTCAGTTGGTGAGATCTGCCCCTGACTCTGAATGAGCCAGTGGCTGTAAAGCAACGTTCAAGGTGTCTCTGTGGCAAGCAAAAAGAGCAGAGCACAGCCAACATGGTCCTTGGAGAGTGACCCAGGGGTCCACTGGGCACTCCTAATTGCTGCAGAGCAAAAGAAAGACAGCACAACACAGGCCCTATCACCAGCATAACTATTAAAAAAGAACTAGCAGGCTTCTACTCCCCTAGAGCTTAGTCAAGAAAGTGATGGGTGCTTGCCCCAATAGCTTAGGTAATTAGTTTGTCCACAGTACAGTCAAGGGAAGGACCGTGTTCAGTTTGGTTCCAGCATCATGCAGAAAACCAACCCTGCTTCCCCCTTCAAAGCGTTTTTCCTTTAGCAAGTCTCCAGCAGAGGATGCTGTTGCACCAGCATGCAGCCAGGATGCAGTCTTCAACAAAGCGGCTGGAAGTCAATTCACTAATGTCCTTATTTTGATTACAGCAACGAATCAACAGATGAACTTAGACTAGATCACGTACAAACAACAATCGCATCAGAAAAATAAGCATCAATTTTTTTCTTCCAGTAAGCAAGGCAGATTCATGTCAACTTGTAAGTTACAATAAGAAGGGCAACACATAACCTTGCCTAAATCAGTAATATTTCCTTTCAGCAATTAAAGCAAAGCTATAAACAAAAGCTCAGAAAAGCAACAAAACTAATTACAGTGCTGAGGCTCAAGGGGATGTAGGTTGCATAAGGAGTGGGAAGCACTGTTTACATTAGAGAAGAGCAACCAGACACAATGAATAATAAAAGTTATTTGGATGCCCTTATTTGTGTTATACTACTACAGGAATAAAAGGAATACTTACGAAAAAAAGACTCATTTGGCTTGTTAAAAGAGTCTTTCCACATGTACTTCATACAGCTTTGGGTCAATGATGACATTTTCCAATTTGGTTCTCTGTAATACACCTAAACTTGATCAAAGGAATATATTTCTACTATATTATTAACTGGAACTCTGTGCTGTTGGATCTGGCAAGATGAAAAAAACCACACCATAAATATCTTATCCAGATACATACAGGGAATTTTTAAAGTTCCTCTGAAGATTTGTATCACCTATCTCCAATTTATTTTGTGACAGAGTAGATAACCAACCACCTGTTTTAATGTGGCAATTCCAACATTTCATAGACTTCCTTAGCATTACTCCCCAAACATAAATTTCTTCAAAGATCCCAGGTTTTGCAAGATTTGTACATGGGTAAAGTAGACTTAAACTCTTAAAACACAAAGACAAGTGTGCTTTCATTTTACTTTAATATACAATTGTATTAAAGCAGTAGCATCTGGCACACAGCACTCAGCCTGCAGTGCTGTAAATGGAACACTGATGACTTTTTTTTTTTTTGGGGGGGGGGGGGGGGGGGACGC